CCACTATATATACACACATCTTCCAACCATCCGCCATCAATAATCATGCAGATATCACAATCTATTAATCGCAGGCTTTCCGACAATTCTTCCAGTGAAACTATATTCAATGAAGCTAAGAAAGACTATGAAACAGCCCTAAAAGATAATGGATTCCTGGCAATACTTGCATACATTACATACTCCACAAAAAAGGCTACCAGGAAGAGAAACATCATATGATTCAATCCATCGTACAACAAAAACTTAAAAGAAACTTAGGAAAAAATATTCATTAAACTCATACACTAACGCTTCCCCGCATCAAGCACTCTCCACAAGAAATTCAACAAAAACCACAGTAAAAATCAGTTACATTTGCACTGAGAACATGGCACAAATAATGAACCCACGTGTAACTGCAGAATAAAGAACGAATGCCTCTTAAATAGCAATTGCTTACAAAACAATGTAATATACCAAGCCACTGTAAAATCAGCAGATAACAAAGAAAAAATATACATAGGAGTAACTGAAGGATCTTAGAAACAAAGAAACTACACGTACAAAGCATCTTTTATAAATAGTAAATACGTGAACAGCACGATGCTCTCTAAACATATCTGGGAGATTAAAAACAAAAACAAATCACACCAAAATATCATAGAAAATAAGAAAAGAACATCAGCCTACAACAATCTAAAAACTAAGCTCTGTCTGTTTTAAAAAATAGCTAAAAATACCTTCTCAGATAAAAAAAAAACTGCTAAATCAATGATCAGAACTCATCACAAAATGCAGACACAAAAACAAATTTTTACTACGTTACTTAAGAATCGAAAACTGAAAATGAAGAATAAATGAAAATAAATAATCAAAAACAAGTAAAATGAATTAATCCCCACAAATAAACTTAGTAAATAACCCTTAGTAAATAAACTAAGTAAATAATAAACAAATTAAGAAACCACGCCCACCAAAATAACCGTTAGAATAATACAATAGACTTCACACAATGTAATAGAATACCTACAATGCATCACTGACCTATATATATATAAAAAGTCGAGCAAAAACAACACACATGGCCTGACGATTGCATTTAGCATGAAACAGACTGACGCCTCTGGGTGTTGCCTTTAATAAGGTACACAAAAGAAATATTTTCTGCAAAGGTATTTGTAAAACTTGTTTTTCTATTCTATTAATTATGTTAATGTAATAAATGTTTGATCCTATCAAATCTCATCTCAGAGTTTCAAGTTTTGTTTGTTTTTATATGCAACTTATTCAATAATCAGGATAAGTGACATTCTGGTCTCCTCTCACTCACTCCCAACAAAAAATCGTTTTATATCAGTAAAAAAAGTCATGGTTTTTAAGGGTTGTTTCCTTTACTCATTATGACGCACGTACCCGTTCCATTTAAAAGAGCAAATAATTTCATAAATAATAATAGCAAAATTTAAGAAGCTATAAAATTTAATAAATAATAAAATAATTTTAAAAATTCATCATCTAGATAATATAGAAATTAATTATGAAATAAGTAATAAAATAATAAAAAAATAATAATTAAAAGAAATTTATTAATAACAAATTAATAAAAAGAAAAATATTAATAATTTAATAATAATAAAATAAAAATAAAATACTTTCATAAATTAGAGAGGTATAATAAAATAAATATTTATTGGTAACTAACAGTTTTTTTTTTTCACAAGTGTCTTTGAAAGTAAGGCTATAAGACCCAAAATACCTAAAATTCAATAAAATATTAGAAATTGATTGCTTAAAACATTTTCTTATTAATTTTTTAAAAAATACTGGGTAGTTAAAAATATATATAATTAATTTGGGGGATTTAGGCTTATAGCAATGAGTCTAGAAGAATCATCAACAGAATGCCGAAAGCACGGGACGGCCATTTCGTCCTATCTGGGACTCATCAGCAGAGCGCATCCACTACCGAGACTCGAACCCGGACCGTTTCAATACAACGCAAACGTCATACCAACTGTACCGTGGGACTCGGTGACGAAGAAGACACAAACTAGACTCGATATAGCGTGCTACTCACTCAGTTCCGCAGCGATACTTATCCAAGTATTCAGATAACCTCGTAACAGTGCCCCAAGAACAACGACTGCTTTTTGACGCTCTATCGCAGAGCATTAGCTGGATCTAGCAAGGTATACAAGTAATTAATTTTGGGGATTTAGGCTTATAGCAATGGGTCTAGAAGCATCCTCAACAGAATGTAGAAAGCACTGGACGACCGTTTCGTTTTATCTGGGACTCACCATATCTATAATAATATATAATAATAAAATATTTGATGTATTGATATTTTGGGCGATACGCGTCTGATGGCAAAACAGACGATAATTTTTTGTTGCCGCTCTGTTTTTGGAATTGGAAGCTGCAGACGACTCCACCCTTTAATCAGAGGATCCTTATTATCCTCAGCCAGAAATTTTTTTCTGGGTCGATTAAGAAGACGCTTTGGTTTTTGACTCCGTGGTAAACTAACTTAGTTTGCCACGTAAAATAGCATGTTACTTTGTTTGAATGTTCTACTTACAGTGTCGAATTATTTTCATTAGATAGATTTAAATTATAACTTTATATTATAAAACAAAATAAGACCTATCTCGGCTGATTTTCAGGCAAATAAACTAACATACTCAAGAGCGAGAGCCGGATGTGAATGGGACAAGGTCCCGTCACAAAATGACCATTATCGTCGTTTACGCATAGGTCCGACGCACGAGTTCCGGTCGAAAAATAAAATAATATTTTAAAGTGTTTCTATTTTTCGACCAATAAAAATGCTTCCCTCCTAATTATACTCACGTCGTTTTTCGAGCCTGTTAAGCCATAAAAACGCCATAAAAGAGGTCACATGGGGAAGTACTAGCAGTCAACAGGAGGCCAAGGAAGAGATCTGTCACGGTCAGTCTGGGCAGACAGCAGCAGGAGCGCCACGCCAACCAGTGAGAACTACTATGAGAGATCAAATCAGATCGGTAGCCGGCTTATGAACTATACCACAAGGTAGCTGTCCCAAAAACCACACGTTCCTATTGAAATAAATCACGTAAAAATCTATTTCTGCTATTGTCGTATTTCTTTCTTGCAACCATACGCTTGGGCTTGTCTATAACATTTATAATTAGTACTATCTGATTTTATTTAGGGATGGGAAGAAGGGATGGTGATTTTTTTCATATTGAACGACTCTGTAGAAAACATTTTTATAATAAAATTCGGCAGAATTCCGATTGGCGCAAATGTAAATGTTTGTTAACAAAGGTACTTTGTGGTTTATAAGTTTTTGAGATTTGTTTCTTGTCTAAGAGACATTTATTTGAAAGAGGTAATTTTATTCCCAGAAAGAGGAATTATTGCCTTTGATTTGTTTGTATTGCTGACTTGGAGAGTCAACGTTTTTTTTCACTTTCTTTTTTCTTCGTTCGAGGCGGGGAATTCTGCCCCATTCTTGTTCCATATTTAAAATAAGATTTTAAAATATTTTAAATAGATATTTATTTTAAAATTTGATCTTAGCTTTGGTTAGGCGTTGTGTTTTCTATTTTTCCCTTTCAGTTCCAAAGAAAGAGAAAAAGAATTTCTGAAGAAGAAAAAGAAATGTATCTGAAGAAATTATCTCTCTTGTAGAAAAAAAGAATTTATTTACACGTTTTTTTTTTTTGGCTGTAAATGAAAAGAAAAAAGAAAGGTCAAAGAAAAAAAAGTTTAAGTTGTCAGTTTAAACTACTTTCTTTAGATTGACAAAATTATTTAAGTAGTAAATCTTTTTTTTTTTTTTTTTTTTTTGTCCATTATTGTTTTGTTACTGTATTTTTAGCATTTGGAACAGTAACAATATGCATGAAATTGTTTTTGTAAAATAAAGATTTTCAGTGAACTTTAGATTTTGGTCTTATATTTTCCATAGTTTAAGATCGTCTGCTTCATTCAGTTATTTCGTTTTTTTAAAATTTTTTTTAATTCCTGTGAAGAGGCCGAGAACAAAATCAGCAGTTTTGAAAATATATATATAAAACTTAAATTTAATTAAATTAAATTTTAATTAGATTTTATTATATATATATATATATATATAATTGTATATAATTTTTGTATATATAAAATTATATATATATATGATATAATTTTTTTTGTTCCTTCACATCCCTTAATTTATTTATTTTAATGATTAGAATAAATAAATTAAAACTTTATCTATTATTGTGGAATTAAAATGACATTTTTTCATTATTTTTATATTTTAAAATTGAGTGTAGTTTTTTTTCATTTGTTGTACTTGATAAAATTAAAAATATTTATTTTAAACGAAATGTTAGCAATAATAATCATTTATTAAAATATTACTTAATTTAAGATGCTGTGACAGCATCTTCACTTAACTAATTAAAAAATTAGTACCAGGCAGATAACTTTTATTACACCACTACAAAAGTTATCTGTCTGACATTGATTTTATTTTGTTTGAGTAGCTCCGGTGGAAAACTTTTTTTTAGCAACCTCTCGTATAATTAAATGAAATTTTATATAATTTTCTAACTGATGAACAAGTAAGATTTTAATTTTAAATCAAATGCTATGTCCGTAAATGACGTCTTAAATTTAGTAATACAATAATATTTTTAAAAATAATTAAACTTAAAAAAATCTTACTTGTTTTTTAAAAATATTACTGAATAATTTAGAATGATTTACATATTTTATTTAAAATATGATCTATTTTTTTTCTATTTTTCTTAACCATAAGCCGAATTTTTTTTGTCTATGATTCTTCGTTTACATAAGGGGCTTGGCATGCTAAGACGAGCTCTGACCAGCTTGGAAAGCTATGACCAACTTTAACCAGCGGCCCGAATGACAACACTCGGGTTCCCACGTTAAAAACTGACCTTGTGTCACAACCTGACTCAGTGGGTGAAGGGATCAAGTAAATCTTTACATAAGGGGCCTCGCATTTAAGTCCCTTAGCAATGGCGGGAACTGAAACCTGTGAAAGTAAAAAACGCAAACATGAAGAAGATAATGAAGACAAGGCGATCAGCGTGCTTCAAACATTTAAGCTGGTCAAAGTCCTCAAGGAAGACACTGCTAAGAAATTCGTGGCCGTTGAAGGACGGATACCGTCTGAATCGGGGACAGGCGACGAAGATGGAAATAATAAAGCCGTTTTGCTTTTGGAAAAGAAGCCGTTCGCTGTTGATAGCATCGAAGATTTGCTTAATTCAGGAAACACTAAACTGACATTTGTGAATGATTGTTACAGTAATTATCAACTGTCTTCATCAAAACCCCTCCACGGTAAGAAGATGTCATCATTTAACCTTCTTCAATAAATGTGACAACGATTTCTGTTAGACTCAAAAAATTTGAGTTTGTTTATTTTAGTGACCAACATTAAACTTTTTTACCCGACCGAGTAAGTGTTCATAAAAGCAAATTTACCGGATTAAACATCACTAATTATCGTAGAAATACGACTTTGGGTAACTGCTTTTCGATCTATCAAGAACAAGTTCTACATGATTTCTTATTTCAATATGGATATCTTTGGGCTTTTATCCCATAAGTGTTACTGTTGTATTAACAAAATTGCTTTATTTTTTCGTATGCGAGTTATAACCCCTGATTTATGCCCCACTCCCCGATTCTAAACTTTTATCATAAAAAGTTTTATACAAAACGCCAAAACCCGACAATTATTTGATTTTTAAAAGAATTTTCAAATCAGTGTGTTTTTCAACGCAGAAAAAAATTCTAAACTTTCCGATTTTAATCTTTGGTCCGCCACTGACACACACACACACATACAAAAATCACCCCAAAAAACAAATTTAAAAAATTTTTTTTTAATTTAGGTCAGAGGTCTTTATAAGTTGAAAACTAACACATTAATGTGGAAATTATTGCAAAAACCAAATAATTGTCGGAATTTAATGAAACTTTCAGAACTTCTTCAAAAATGAATGAATTTATTTTAGAAATGTTTGTTTTTTAGAAAGTCATGGTAAATATTTTTTTTTTCATCTGTCCCCCCCCCACACTTAATTTTATGAAAACTTTATAAATTAAAGGTAAAACTAGTGACTGTGTAACTCTGTAAATTTTTTTTTAATTAAATGAAGACTTTGAGGAATATAAATCATCAATTTTTTGTAAAATTTTACTTGCAACAACCCAAACTTTAATGCTGAATTATAAAATAAAACTAAGACATTATTTAATTAAAAAAGCTTTTAATGGCTTTTATGAATAATGTTTTTGTCTGAAGCCAAAATTTTTTTTTGGTTGAAAAATGAATTTTTACAAAATTTTTTTTTTTTTTTTTTTTTTCCAATTATAAATAAAAAAGTGATAAAATTGATAATTGTTTTAAAGTTAAATTTGAAACTGTATAAATCTGGAAATGCTTTTATTAAAAAGGTATATTTTTACAGATCATACATTAGAAAGCTTATTAAAATCTATTACATGCATCTATTTTTAAAATAATTTTTTATTATGCCAAAAAGTGTATTAAAATCGTCTCCAACAAATCTATGGATGCACATTTTTGAAAAAAATATCACGTTTACTAGAGTTATTTCCCCTGATAACATGGATTCATGTGGTCATTTTTGGCATTGCTTTTGTTCTGGAAGCATGTGTCGAATTCTCTGAGTGAACATTAACGTCACATTTTCAAAATTTTTCTTCTTCTGCCATATTACATCAATTAATTAAAAAAAAAAAAAAGAAATAAAATCTCATTTCATAAATGAGTTACCTGTTTCATTTATGAAATGTAATGGTATTTTATTTAATTTTTATATTGTCTCAGTTAGGAAAAAATTTAATTTCATAACTAGGACAATATAAAACTTAATTTAAAAAAACATAAAATTTTATAAGAGGTAAATGTAACAAGTAGGTCCTACCATCCGATAAATTCCCCTGGCATAAGTTCTTGATACATTGATGTATGTCAATTAACGCCTTCCAAAACCAATCACCACAGCTGGACATGTCTCTCTTAAAAGATTTTCTGCTAAAAAAGTAAGTGATGTTTCTTTTTAAATTACATTAAGTATACTTTAAATTTTCTAATTTTTCTAAAATAACTTTTGAAGAAAGTATAATTGAATTTTACAAGATTTTTAAAACGGGAATTTAACTTTGTTTATAAAACTGTCAATAATGGCTAACATGATTGATTTTGCATCAATTTTGATGACTCAAAAAAAATTTTTAGCTAAAATTTCCAACATGCTAGAAAGGATTAAAAAAATAAAAAAAATATTCAAATACTTTGGTCTTTCCTCTTAATAATGACATAAACATTTAGACAATACAATTTTTTTTTTTTTTTTAATCAAGTCTTGGGCTTTTTTTCATAAGGGTATGTTCTTTTAAAGCAACTTTTTGGACAATCCTACTCGAAACTCAAACAATTGACAGAATAGCTGGCCTCATAAAACATTTCCTCAGTGAAAAAGGAACCAACAAACATCCACACGAATGAGAATATATATCTCAATATATATTAGAAAGAAATCAAAAGATGTATTTGAAAATATATTAAAAACAATATAAATGATTTATATAAATTTTAACTCCTGAATTATGGCCCCACTTTTAGACTTTTACCCAGATTTTATTCAAAATTTATTTATTTTTTTTTAAAGAAAATCTTGGTAAAAATATGTATTTTTACATTTACTACCTCACACTTATTTAATTCATTTGTGCCTGACATCTTCCTTTTTATAAAGAATTGAGAAAAAGAAATGGGGAATATTAAGAAAAAAAAAAATGAATAAATGTTCTTATTCATTGAATCTTCTTGGTGGCCTTATGCGGCTGGATTTAAGTTCTTATGTGTGTTGTCTTGCCAGAGAGTAGATTTGCATCATGTGTTTCGTGTAGGGCATGTTTGCTTGGGTTATCTGGTGGTGAGTTGATCTCCACTCTTGGTATAGGTTCATCAAAGGTTGATCTTTGAAGAATTTTGGGTGAATATACCTTATGACTCGTTTTGGCTTGGCATGAGTCTTCCCTCAGGTGCTGGCGCTTCCTGCAGAAGATTTGTCTGGAGGGACTCTGCGCAATGTATGATCGTGGTTCAGTGTCTGCTAGCGTGACAACTATAGTAATCCATATACCTGCATCCTTGTTGAGTACTCTAACATGCTGCCCTATCCAAAGATTCGGGAGATCTTTTCTGTGCTGGTCATAATGTTTTCTGTCCAGCTTGTCTATGGTACAATTGGGCTGATATTCCCTCTTTTTACATTGAGTGTTTGGCATATTTTACTGGAAAGTTGCTAACCAGTTTTCTGTTGTACAGAAGTTCCCCTGGTGACTGGATTGTATGATCTATCAGAGTTGCTTGGAGGCATAATAATACCATGTCAATGTTGCAGCTGCTTCATGTAGCCTTCTTGATGGCAGATTTCATTGCATGCAACATTCTATGAGACCATTTGATTGTGGATATTTTGAAGACAATATGTGATGGTCAAATTCTCATTCTTTCATGAACTGCTTAAATAGCACTGACCTGAAATGGGGGGGGGCATTGTCACTGATCAGGTCTGGGATTCCTTGTTCCCCAAATATTTGTTTGGTTGTAGTTGTTCCAACTTCTCTGCTGAGAATTGAATGAAGTCAACTTTAATGTCAAAATCAATTGCTTCCTTTGCTTTTTTGTTATGGAGTCTGGAAAATCCATCTGCTAGTAACATTTGGGTGATAGACAATGGCCATGTCGTAACCTTGCAGCTGTAACAGCATTTTCCACTTGAAAAGCACACCCATAGATGTACATTCGAAAACACTTACATTCAAACACAACCACTAGGAGTTCCTGTTTGATATTAGCATGCCGTTGCCCTGTTTCTGTCAGTGACTTCGATGCAAATGTTATGGGCCTTCCATCCTGCAGATCGCCTCTATTAGGTGCATCAACCTGGATTACAGTTTGTTTAACAGAATCAAAGTAGAACTAGCATTTCTTTGCAAATCAGGTCTTTGATTTGTTCAAGGGACAATTGGTGATTTTTAGTCCACTGTTATTGTTTCTTTTTTTTATGTGCATGTCCAGCACATAACAGGTTCACACGTGTTAGCATCCATTCTAACTTCTACTGTTGTGAAGCACAATCAATATATAATACTGTAAAGCACTTACTTGTACAGCCGTGGTTTTGTTTCACTTCCATACTAATTATTTTTTTTGCTTGAAAATAACAGTGTCTGTTAAGACTCTATGTGGTGTTGCTGCTGCTTGTATAAATCCTCATTATTCCTGTCAGAGGGGTTTGAAGTCTTTTCAACTTGAAGTGTTTTTTTTTGTTTTTTTTAACAGCTTGGTAGTGTTCCTGTGACTATATACCATCACTGCCACCATGTAGTATTATTATGAGGAATGAAGATACGTAACACATTTTAGGGTTTAGACAGCTTGTTTTATTCACCATATGCTTGGCAAGCTAGTCTAGGGGAGATAATTGGAATCGTTTAGTTAAAAAAAAAAGCAGAACTCCCTTTTTTTATCATCTTTCTTTGCAATGTAATTATGCTTATTAAAAAAATATACTTTCTGAAACTTTATTTCTGGAATATTAGCCGATTTAAAGTATAATTAATCTGATTTGAATCATATTTACTTTAAATATCGCAAAATGCATTTTTTTAACACAATGTTAGCTACTTACTCAAGCTGTTGACATGTTTGACAGTTTGATGACACAATGATGTTTATCTAATGTTGTTCTGTGGGGGCTTTAGCTGTAAAAAATAATTGAATATAGCGTGAACACCCTTTTATATATGATTTTTAAATACTCGGTAATCTTAAAAATTTAAGAAAATATTCTCCATAATCTAATGTTTTATTGAAGTTTTGATTTTTTTTCTGTCTTTAAATTTATTCTAGTTATAGCTCTTATTTTCTGATAATGTGTATGGTCATTACATTTATACACATGCAAAAAATATTTTCTTAAGACAATAGTTTCCTTAATATACCTTATTTATAAAAGCAATTAAAGGCTTTTCTAATTAAATAATTTTATAGTTTTATTGCGCTTTTTATTTTACGATTCAAAGGAGATTTTCAGTAAATGGCAATTATCCTTGACAAAAGCAAATTGATGGTTTAAATTCTGCTTTTAACTAGTATAAATATGAAGTGGGTGGAATTTTAATTTCAGGAAAATTTAATATAAATTTAAGTAAAGATAAAAAAAACACCCAAAAAAAGAAAACATTTGATAAATAATTTTATTTGTTTGTGAATAAGTCTTGAAAATTTCATTAAAATCTTAGTTATTTGATTTTTGCAAGAATTTCCAATATAATGTGTTTTTAATGTCAAAAAAATGCTAAAAATCCCAATGGTAATTTTTGTCCCACCTGCTCATGCAAGAAAAACAAGATTTTAGATTTTTAACCAAAATTTTGAATGTGCTAGAAAGGATTAAAAAAATCTAATAGAATAGTAAAAAAAAATATTTTGTCTTTCCTTTTATTAATAACAAAGATTTTAACTTTTAAAACTTTTGATTTTATAAAGTTTGGGCCTTTTTCATCCTGGTATGCTCTTCTTTTAGCAAATTTTTGGAGGTACCTATATAAAACAGGCGCTCATGTTATATTCCTCGATTATTTTTTACAGATATATCTACCATACAAAAATATTACATAAACTTCCATCTGTCATTCAAGCTGTCAGCATGTCAACACCTTAAATAAGCCGCTACTGCCGTGTTAAAAATGTATTTCTGCGATATTTTAAACTTACAGTAAGTAATATTTGTTTCAATCGGATTAATTAAACTTTAAGTCAGGTAATATTCTTCAAATAAAGAGGTAAGATATTTTAGATAAGTATATTTTTGAAAGAATTTTTAATAAAATGAATTACATTGTGACATCAGAAAAATAATTTTTTTCCAAAATTTTCAAGGTTCTAAAAAACAAAATAATTTTTACATCAGAAAATCTTTTGAACTCTCATCTTGATAATACATGACATCAAGTTTGAGGATAAAATTTTTGTTTTGTGCATGTTTTCATCATATGTCCTCTCTTCTCTCTTTTTTTTTTTTTTTTTTTTTTTAAGTGGATTTTTGGAGCTATTTAATGATGTATTTGAGGAATCAAAAAATGTAAACTTTAATGCTATTTTTGAGAGTGAACCTTTCTTAAAAGTATTTTAATTTATTTTTTCATTTAAGCAACTGTTAGATTATTTTTGTATGGATGTTCAGAAGATAACTAATTCTGGATTACCGCCTTTGACTATTTTTCCCTATTTGAAGAATAATATATAATAATTCAATAAATCTTAAATTCAGAATAATTAAAGAAACTCATTGGGTACAAGTAAATGTAGTATAAAAATAGAATTAATTATTTGTTCTGCTAAGTTTAATAAAAGCGTATAGAATAAAAAATTATATTCTTAAACTATTGGTTATATAAAGTCAAAGATGATTTTTTAGGCGTTCCTTGGTGGTACCTAGTTTTACAGTAACTTTTGGACTCTTTTTTGTAAAGTAACATAGATTGGGGATATAAAATAAATCTCAGTTAAAAATAAATAAAGTACTTAATAAAGTTGTCTACTCATAAAAAATAGGAAATACTTTTGTGGGGAGGGAATAGTTTTTGTACTTTAGCATTCATTTGACCTTCAAGTACCTATGACATTTTTCATTCTAGAAGGGGTAGGTCTTTTCATAATATCAATACAATCCTTTGTTTGTTTTTATTTAAAAATGTCAAATTTGAAATTGTTCTTAAATCATTGGTAACTACTGATGTAATTTTCTCAGTTCACAAAGTTTCAAACTTTGCATTTGTAAAAAAAAAATGTCATTATGAAGTCAGAGGTTAATTTGACAGAAATTGTAAAAAAATTAGCTTCATCTATTTCTTTACAAGTGGACTAGTTAATTTAATTTGTACCACAAACAAAAATAAATATGGTCCGATGTACCTCTTTTTATACATGAAAATTTTGTATGGCTTACAGCCACATCACGTTGAAACACCAATTCATGTGTGATCACCAAAGTTAAGCAACATTGAGCCTGGTCTGTACCTAGAAGGTTTACTGCTTAGGAATACCAGGTGTTGTAAGATTGTTTGTGGGAATAGTGCAATAGATAATAGCTTGGGAATTTTAATCAGGATGTTCAATTCCAGTTGGGTTCATTATATTCACTTGTGCACAAATACCCTTTGGAAAGGTACAAATCTATCTCTTCTCCTCCAGCTATAGGTTAATTAGTAAGAGTTGTATCACTAAACCCTTACTATCTCCCTCCCCCAAATTCTTACAATCTAAAAATATTTTCTGGCATTAAATCATCTGCAAAGAGTTGATACACCATAGAAAATTAATCTATTTTATTATTGAGTCTAATGATAAAATTTTGTCATTTTTATTTTACACTTTTTTCTTTCTTACTGTTTTTCAGATATCAAGGTCTCTCTTATAAATCCAGCCACAGAGAAACATATAATGAAATTCATGGAACAAGAATGTTTTATTATCCATGAGACAGCAGAGATTCATAAAACTATCACATTGCCTGTTATTGAAAAGCAGAGGTTGGCTGTTGAGGTATGGATATTTTCTAAGCTTGACCCAAGTATGTCTTTGTGGGGGGGGGTGACATTGTGGGAAGAGAGAACCTATCTTTGAGCTTTTCAAGTGGGAAGAGACAGCCTAGCTTGGTGTTTTCCGATCCCATATAGATAAAGCTTAGGTTTTTGAAGCTGTGTGCCACACGATCTATGGCTCATCACAAGGAGGGCTGCACTGCTAAATATATTTGAGATAATTTTTTATATTAGGTACTTTAGCTTGTTTCACTACAGAAAACCATATCCGTAAGCATATACCTTAAAAATGGAGGGGGGGCTTTTTTATTTTTTTATAATCTTAAATAATAATATCACTAATGACAGTGTGATTAACATGTTGCTTGTGATTTATTTCTAATTTACTCATTTGAAAATAAAAAAGTATATTTCTTCTCCAGAGAAAAAAATTCTTATGACTGTTTCCTGTTTCAAAAGCAAAAGATGTTTACGCGTATGATCTTCTGTAGTGAAAATTGTCAATGGTTTAAAATGATGAAAACTTTATTTTTACTGAAAGTTTAAAAAAATTCAAGAAACACTGAACATAAACAATGATTATGTGTGTAAGTGAATGTGTAAGAAAAACATTCCCTAGTGGAACCAGAAGTGCTTACAAATAAGAGGAGATAATGTTAGAATAAAATTGGATAAAGAAAACTATTGGAACACTAAAAGAACAATTAAATCAGTAGACATTGAAAACAGGTTGCATTATTGTGATAACTAGACAAGGGGATTTCTGAAGAAATAGGAAACCATTTCAGGTTTTGAAAATAGACTTTTGAGAAAGAAACCAGGTAATGATGATTACAAGGATTTTCAAGTAAATAATAATACAAGAGAAAGTACTGAAAAAAAAACTTGGAGCGGATGGACGATACATACTCCAAGATATTTGTTTTATTTCACAAAGTGAGTGAGTTATCACCCTTTGTAAACAAAGCAGACTGAAATTTTTTATTAGGTTGGTGCAAAAATAATGACGTAATAATGTCGTTTTTTTGACGTACTTTTCACGTCAAAAAACGACATTCTTACGTCATTATTTTTGCACCAACCTAATATTTTGTAATTTGGAAAAGTTAGAAATTAATTAACAAAATAAGAAGTTACTTTAGGAAGGAGGATGTTTTATAACATTAATAATAATGATTTGTAAGCACTTACAGTCCCACTAGGTAATGCTGGAATCAAATGGATTGAGCAGCTGAATCTTTCTTACATATTTATAAAACTACCATTCGTCCTTGTTTTTAATATTGCTGTCACATCTGTTCTGGTGCTCCTGCTATATATTTAAAGATTCTTTATAAAATCCTTTGAAAAATCTGCAATGTTATTGGTCCTGATCTGGTATCATGATTTCATTCACTTTCCCACTGCCATAACATAGCTTCCCTGTGCCTTTTCTATAAATTCTTTCATGATAATTGTTCTGATGAACTTTCCTCTATGGTACCTAGACTTTATTATGAATTTAAGTGCAGTACTTGATTGGCAGCAAAGTAAAGACTCTTGATTTTCCAGCTGAAATGGCTAGATGTGTGTTCTTTGTTAACAGTTTCTTCTCAGGCACTTTTCACTTGTGGAACTCTCTTCCAGCTTCTTGCATTCCTGTCAACTTTGATCTTCAAAATTTTAAATGCAATGTCAATCATTATTTTCTTCTCTCCTTAATAGTATACTTTTCTTGTATTCCCTAACACTTAGTAATCCCTTGCGTCTTAGTGACTTTATTGCTTTGCTTGGGGTTAAATGATTAAAAAAAAACTTCTCACAAACTTTTTTTTTAATCATTTCACCCCAAGCAAGGTGAGAATGCCACTTGTACATATGGGGTTACTGAGCATGAAAGTGAAAGAAAAGACTTGGTATTGGGGGGGGGGGGATTGAGGAAAGAATAAAGGATGAATGGGATTCAAGAAGATGGAAGATGATGATTGACATTGCATTTAAATTTTTGAAGATTGTAGTTATCGGGAAAGCAAGTAAATGGAAGGGAGTTCCACTATCGCGAAGAGTGAGGAAAGAAACTGTTGGAGTAGAAGTGGTGGTTACATTTAACTGTTTCAATAGTAAAAGAGTGGGACCTAAATGCCAGTCTAGTAGCACACTTAAATTCTTGTAGTCAGGGCACTGAGGAAAAAAGCTCGCCAGAGCAGTTGCCATGAAAATATTTGTAAAATGTCATGTCTGTGAGAAAGTGACTGAAGTTGAGGTGGCAGGCTTTTAATAAACAAATCTTAAAGCACCTTTTTTTTTTTTTTTTTTTTTTTTTTTTTTTTAGTGAACAAAAGTTGAATGAAAAAGTTAGATATTTCAATTATTTATCTCTAAATCTGAAAAACTTTAATATTTAACTATTTTTAACCGGTGAAAATTTCACGGTTTTTCTATTTGAAATTTCTGATGAATGTTAATTCTTCAGTTACTAATTGAATAAGCTCGTGGCATGATCTACGACAATATAATATCCATAGAAATTAACCTATCACATTGTTAAATATTTGAGCTTAACAACTTTAACAAAATATTCCAATAACAATCGTAAACATGAATGCTGGTCATTATTTAAAACAAGGGTGTACAAATTAAAAGATTTGAAATGGACAACTTTTCCATTTCACTGAAACAGCCATTAAACACTTCTATCTTTGCTTCTTTCATTTTCTCTCTGAAACCAAGTAGCATCTTTGATGTCTTTTGTCTTCTCACATGACCAAAATGGAATAGTCCATTCTTTATGAGGTATTAGAAGACATTAAATACTCCTATATTACTTTTTATTTCACTTAAACCAAGTAGTGTTTCTGATAAGTATTTTGTCTTTACACACGATCAAAATGTAATAGTCCATTATTTAGATGTTATTGGCAGGGCGTAATGGCTGTGCGAACTAATAAAAGGAGAGACAAGTACTATTATATTAGGATTGCTTCAACAAACAAAACTGGAAAATATATATTTTCTGTTAATTTTTAGCTAAAATACTTGAATGACCCATTAATATACAACATTTATGTATTTCTGCTTATAATAAACTAAATTGGAAATGCAAGGGAGAATTTTAAAAAATAATAAATATAGAACATTGATTAACAATGCAGGTCTGGTAATTGTAAATGAAAATTGGGAAAGGTATGTATTCACCTCTTCTCTCCCCTCTATGGGTTAATTAGTAAGGCATGTATCACTAGATCATTATCTCTAAAAAGAAAAAAAAATTCTTACAATCTAAAAATATTTCCTGGATTTAAATAACCTGAAAAGTTCTTAATAGTAATCAGTATTAAGTGCCTCCCTGTGAAGTATTGGTAAGCCACAAAGTCTACTTGACCAGTATTTTGGTAGTGTGTTTGATCCTCACTAGGTGCCCTGCATTGATGGACTTCAGTTAGACTAAGCTTAGTAAATATCAATAGTAATTAGTATCAAGTTCCTTTCTGTGAATTAGTGAGCCAATAAGTTTATTTGACTAGTACTACAAAAATGTGTTTGATTTTCACTGAGTGCTCTTCATTGATGGCTCTCATGCCAAGCCATGCTATGTTTACCAAATATCAAGTATATTTTTCAAGTTTGAATTTTCAATATATCTAATCTATTTTTTCCTCTACAGTGGGTGTACAACATTCTTGACAAGAAAGCTGAAGTTGATAAGGTTGTATTTGAAGATCCTGATCCTGAAAATGGCTTTATGCTTGTACCTGACATGAAATGGAATGGTACAGAAATAGAAAGTCTCTACCTGGTGGTTCTTGTTCATAAAAGAAGTCTTAAATGTATAAGAGACCTTGACCAATCACATCTGCCATTATTGAAGAATATCTTGAAGCAATGCCCAGTAAGTGGAATTTTATTAGGACTGGCTTTATAAAACTGTATAGTAATAAATAATACTTTATAATATTGTATGATGATGATGATAATAATAATATAATACTTTATAATGTATGAAATAACTTTATAATATTGTGTGATATATAATTCATAATATTGTATGATAATGTATAATTTATATTGTATGATATCTATTATAATTTATATTGTATGATATCTATTATAATTTATATTGTATGATATCTATTATAATTTATATTGTATGATATCTATTATAATTTATATTGTATGATATCTATTATAATTTATATTGTATGATATCTATTATAATTTATATTGTATGATATCTATTATAATTTATATTGTATGATATCTATTATAATTTATATTGTATGATATCTATTATAATTTATATTGTATGATAATAATATACTATCATGATAATATATAATACTTTATATCATATGATAATATATAATACTTTATATCATATGATAATATATAATACTTTATATCATATGATAATATATAATACTTTATATCATATGATAATATATAATACTTTATATCATATGATAATATATAATACTTATATCATATGATAATATATAATAATAATATTGTATGATAATGTATAATAATAATATTTATATAATTTTATAATAATATATAGACATAACTTAGCAAACTTATTGGATGATTGTTACCACATTCAAGCAATGAGAGTTTTCTTAAATGGTTGAAGCACTTTACCAGTAGCTAATATGTGGTTGAATAGATTCAACATGACTTTTCTTGTAAAACTTGGCCCAGTGTTCAAGTATATCAGCTTTACTAGTTAAGATGTTACCGTTCTAGTCTTTGATTCCCCAGAGGGCTTAATTGAAACACCAGTTTCCGTATGATCAGTGAAGTTAAGCAACATCAAGCTTTGTCAGTACCTTGATGGGTGACTGCTTGAGAATACCAGTTGCTGTAAGCATGGATGTGCAGGTGGTGTAATAGCTTGGAATTGTTAATCAGTGTCAAGTTCCAATTCTTGTTGGGTTTGTTATATTCACTTGTATGGATTCACCCCTTCTCCCACTGCTATGGGTTAATTAATGACTTGTATCACTCATTCATTATTATCTCTTAACAAAAAAAAACTCTTAAAAACTTAAAATGTTTCCTGGCTTTAAGTAATCTGAAAAGGATTGATAAGCCATAGAAAATGAATCAATAAAAAATAAACTGTATGAACACATAAAAATCATTGTCCTGGGTTTGACGATAAACTACATCTGTATCCTGGGAAAGACATTAAACTACATCTGACAGTAAGGCCTCCGATCAGGAGGTTTTGAGGAGTGGAACCACCTCTTAATTGCTGGTGTTACCAGGTCCATCCTAACCCAGGGTGGGAGCACCTGTTAGGGCCCCAGCTATGGGCAAATAGTTGACCTCCAATCTGTGGTCAAAATGCTGCGGCGGTTAAAAATAGGTATTAATACCAACAATACATTTTTGGAGGAATAATTATTGCCAGCAATACTTTTATGAAGGAAAAATTATAACCAGCAATACATTTTTAAAGGAAAATTATTGCAAACAAAATATTACCAGCAATACCAATTTTTTTTTTTTTTTTTTTTTTTTTTTTTTTGAAAAATATTATCAGCTATTCATTTTGAAAAAAAAAAAAAAATTACCAGCTATATAATTTTTTTAAAAGAAAAATATTACCAACAATACATCTGTGAAAAAATATTACCTGCAATAGATTTTTTTTTTTTTGGGATAAAAAAAATATTACTTAGAATAAAAATTGTCAGCATTAAATAACCCATTGAGGTTGATATGCCATAAACCAAACCAAACTCTCCCTTCCCAAACAAAGATCAGACATTGAAATCGATTTCTTTTTCAGCCAATTCTTTAGAAACCTCAAGTATATTAAAATTGTCACTCTCTTTTTTTGCAGCGGATAATTTTCGAAAAGTATGGTCTACCTCCTTGCAAACTGCGTATGTACTGCCATTACGAGCCATCTTATTATCATTTTCATGTTCATATCAACAACATCAAATTTGATTGTCCAGGTAGGGAGTTTCTGCGGGCTTATTCTCTCTCTGACATCATTGACAATATTGAGATGAAGAATAATTACTACCAGGAGAAAACGCTGTCGATTCTGGTAGCAGAGAACAGTTTGCTTTACAAAGAACTGAAGAGTGCGGGGCACATAGACAATGGTTCTCACCCTGACCAGTAAGTCTTGTTGAGGTTAGAGCAACAATTTTAAACTTCTTCCATGTTTAATATTAGCATTTTTTTTTTTTTTTTTTTTTGTATTTTGAAATTTTGAATAATCATTAAAAAAATGAATCATTTAGTATAACATGTCTTTTTTTATTTTTAAAAAAAAAAAAAAAAATTGATTAATCATTAAATGTGAATCATTTCGTATAACTTGTTTTTATTTTATTTAAAAAAAAATTTTATTAAGTAATCATTAAAACTGGATCATTTAGTATAACTTGTCTCTTGTGTTTTTTTTTTGTTTTTTTTTTTTTGTTTTTTTTTAACCGACTGTTAGTATTGAAAGGTCATTGTCACAGCATTAGTACTGTGGGGTTTTCAAGCACGACATTTAAAATTTTATTCCAAAAAATATATGACAAGAAAATTAAGAACTAGATTAATGTATAAATAAAACTGAATGACCAAAAGGTTTTAATTTGAAAGGCTGAATTAAAAAGCAAATACTAAGGAAAAAAGTTTTATTGATTAAATACTAAGTATTTTGAGCAATATATTAAGTTTGTTGTAGCTAGGGTGTTTTTGGCACACTAGATTTTACAAGCATGTAAAATCATTTTTCTTTTTCTTTTTTTTTTTAATGCCATATCCTTTCAGGGCATAGCCATTTACAGCTCTCCAGATTCCCTTTCTCTATTCTCTGAATTGCTTACAGTTTGGGAAAGATAATGGAGTGATATTTTGCTATGTATTCTGTAGAATCTAAATCTACAAGTCAAACTGATTGTTGCGTTTTAAAAAAACGAAACAAAATACCAACAAAAAAAAAAAAAATGAAAAATCTGGCAACTTCAGAAAAGACATTTTGATTGCTTTGTTAAGCAGAAAAAATACAAAATCCTCGTTGATTTCATGAACATAAAATGTTTAATTTTCATTAAATTGCATCTTTTATAATCATGTCAGTGTATGCAAGTTAACTAGAGTTATTTCCCTTGCAGTGGCAATGTCTTTGTGATAACAATGGCAGACTATTCCAATATGTTTATTAAAAACAAAGAAATGAAAAAAAAAAAAATCCATAACAGAACAGAGTACAATTATAATAATTGGGGAAAATATTAGGTTGAGTCATAAATAAATTTGTTTTTGTTTATCAACTTTATTCTTCAGAAAATAAAGTACAATTACATTTTATTCTATTATATATATTCGCCATTATTTACAACTAGTGTACTTGTGTCGTGAAAATTGACTGCAAGAAGAAATGTATAATGAGTAATATGTATTTAAGTAATTTTTGTTTAATCCAAGTACAATTTTGTAATTTAAAATAATTCATTGTTAACATTAATAATTGAACAGTGTACAATTTATAAATATCTCAAGAAAGATATCTGTATTTTATCCTTGTGTGTGTGTGTGTATGCATGCACAGCTTTTGTACACGCCTTGGGTGTTCTTGAGTGTCAAATTTGCTGAGGAACTAGAACATCATCGCTAGTGATAGTCGAAAAGTAACTTTATATAAAGTTTAAGTCAAGCTGAAATAAAATATATACCTCAGCCAAGTTTTGTCTGACATATATTTATCTCCTCTCTCTCTCTCTATCCCATTCTATTCCCCCCCTCTTTCTTTCTTTGCAGTTGTGTATCTGTTTCTTTTCATGACTACTTCCCATCACTCATTTTGCTTTGGTCATAGTTTGCAGAGAGAGCAGGGAGGGGATTGCTTTGTAGTTTGTCAGTGCAGTAGCTTTTTGTATGTGAACGTGAATGGGATCATGACATCTGTGTGTCTCATGTCAAAATTTTGCACACTGCCCCTCCATTGTTACACACACACACACACACACACACACAAACCTCCTCCCTGTCTTTTGAAGAGGAGTAGAGATTTATCTCTTATTTCCTGTTTAGGATTGAATTTCCAATTTCTTCTTAAGACATTTCATTCTCTTTCACTCTCAGTATCCCCCTTGTGTCTTAGGTGAAAAAAAAAAAAAATCAGGTGATGCAAGCTCAGGTAAATACAACAGATGAACCAACGGAATTCCAAACTGTTTCCCTGTGTTATTTGTGCTGTATATGGTTTTGCATTGTCATAGAGAAGAAAAATTTTCTTTTAATACACTGTACACTGTACTGTTGTGCATGTAAAAGAATTGTCACAATGGTTGCTACTTGTTTTACTCATAATTTTCATAGGCAGTGAAAAAAAAACGGAATTGTGGCTAGAGAAGTGGCTATATTTTACTTATTTTTTCTTTTATTATCAATATCGCCCCAAGCAAGGCAATTGAGCCACTAACATGCAATGGTTACAGGCTGTGGAGGAATTAGGAACAGAAACATTAGTAATGAGTAGAAAGAGAAAAGAGCAGTCACTTGGATAGTTGATTGTGATGGGCATTGCATTTAAATTTTTGCAGATTAAATTTGGCTGGAAGTGTGAGAAAAGAAACTGTTAGCATAGAACTTACCGCTACATCTAACTAGCTCGACTGTAAATTGATGAGATCTCACCACCAGTCTAGTATTGTGCTTAAACTTATACAGTCTAGGTATCTTAGTGAAGAGCTCATCCGAACAATTACAGTATTTATAAAATGGGTATAGAGAGGCAATCTTATGGTGGTGGGTAAATGACTGAAACTGAGCTATCAGATCAGGACCAATAATATTGCAGATTCTTCTTTGGATCTTATCAAGGATCTCCAGGTAAATAGCAGGAGCACCGTACCATATATGACAGCAATATTTTAAGCATGGAAAAATGGTAGACTTATAGATATGCAAACTGGATTCCAGGGAGAAAAATTGTCTCACCCAACACAGTGAATCAACTTTCTTAGCATGTTGACGAGCAAGTTTTTCCACCTCGTGTCAGCTGAGAACATGAGCCTGAAAAGGCACAATGAATCCCTTTCCTGGAGGATAGCATCAGCCATGCTGATGGAAGGCAAAGATGGATCTCTCAAATGATTAATGGAGAGAAGTTTTGTTTTGGAGTCTATGAGAAATTAGTTGGTGAGAGGCTTGATCAAGTATCAAGCAACTTCATGGATAGACAGACGAATGAATGAATGAAGCACAATGAAATAGGAAGACCAAAGGAAAGTAAGAAGCATGTAGAAAAGGAAAAAAAAACATTGTTTTACCCTCTAAAACAACAGTGCAAAAACTAAGATAATGTAGTCCAAATTTATTCTTAACTGCCACGTATGATTAGTAGTTAGGTTAATATATTTGTCATTACAATTGGTTCCTAAAAAAAGAAATTACTTGTGACTCAACCTTATCTACCTGTCTCGTTCTATTTGTATTTACCTATCTGTTATATGTTAATGTACTTCATTTAACTCCTATGTAGTTAGGATGATACATTCATCATTAAAATTGGTTCCTAAAAACAAATTATTTGTGACTTAACCCAATATTTTAAAGACTTGTATGTGAAAACTTTCCTATAATTGTACAGATCTATATCTATTTCATATATCCTCTCATTTTTTATGTCATGGGTAAACTAATATTAGAGTATATTGTACATAAAGTAGGTAATCACTTTTCTATTGTTATTAAGTAATAAATTGATCCCCTCACAATTACTACAATTAATAACTGAAAAAGTATATTTAAAGACTCCTGTGAAAACCTAATAATTGTCAGGACTTAACAAAATGTCTGTTTCATATTTTCTATAATTTTTGACAAATAGTAATATTAATCTTCTGGACATAAAGTAGTGGGTCAGTTTTTTAAACTGATCTCAGAATCATTACAATTAATAACTGGAAAAATATATTTAAAGACATACATGTGAAAACTTTCTAATATGAGTAAGGACTTAACAAACTATTAGTTTTTTATGTGCCATTATTTCTCAAGGTAGATGTAAACTAGTGTTAATACTAGAGTCTATTGTACATAAAATGAGGTATGTTTTTATTATGAAAAGGACAAATAATCACAACATTCTACACTTATGTGCAGCTAGGTGCATGAGCAAACACACGCTATGAAAAAAAAAAAACTTGCACCAATGAAAAGTGCATATAGAAAAGAAAAATCAAGAAGTATGAACAGTCAATTGCTGACACCCTTTGAAGAGTGGACAGAGTAATTTCTGGAGGGTCCATCTACAAAACTCTGGAGTTGGGATGCTGTAGGTAACATCAATCAGCCAAGTGACAACTCTTTTACTCTTATATATATATATATATATATATATATATATATATATATATAAAAAGAAAGAACAGTAAGATATATAATCCTGTGTTCTTATTCGGAGCTTTTAGCTTCCATTTTTGAAACATGGTTAGAACTGTGTAGCAAAAAAAAAAAACATATTTTAAATCAATTAATTTATAATATGTATATGGTGGACTCGCCCCTCATATTTGATGTATAACACTTTTTGAAGGGCCAAATAGAGATGTCTGGTGCACTACGTGCAACAAGGCCCCCCAAACAACCTTCTGCAGGTTTTGAATTCAGAGATGTCCTTCTATACCAGTTGCCATCCAAGGCTATAGAAACCAATCTGTCCTGCTATTTATCCATAGCTGGAGGGAGAAGAGGATTAATACCTTTCCCAATGGTATTAGCACATAAATGAATGTAATGGATTTGACTGCCATTTGAACCCGGCTCTCTGATTCCTCAATCCAAGCCGCTATCCATTACTCCACCATCTGTGATCTGCGAATTAATGCAATAGTAAAGTAATAATCTAGGACATAACAACACATTTTTATGATATATGTTAACATATTAAAAAACACAGAGGACATAAATATAATATATATAATGAAATTGTTTTAGGCTGCTTGTATATTGTCAATGATGTCATTGGTTCTTGGTAGATGAGATGATAAAGCATAAAATTTTGTCTCTTGCCATATGAGGGAGCAAGGAAAACAAACATGATTATTTTTTTTTTTTTTTTTTTTTTTTGCTATCGAGAATTAGCCAATAGTCTAATAAGAAAATGTCCTGATCTCTTAT